AGAGAGAGAGAGAGAGAGAGAGAGAGAGAGAGAGAGAGAGAGAGAGAGAGAGAGAGAGAGAGCACGAAATCCACACTGGAGTCCAGAGATGTGGAGTCCAGATGTGCGCAGCTTAGAAATTCCAACAGAGTGTCAACATCAATATTTGAGTTCATTGTATTGCTCTTATTTGGCTTGTATCTCGGTGCATTATGCTTTCTGCTTGGTTCTCGACTATCTGGTCTACAGCTTGATTTTGCAATTTTGATTTCTGTCTATTGCTCCCGCGCATATTCCTTGCACTTATCATGCGAAAAACAAATCATTGGTGCGAGCGAGTATTCCCCGTACATGTGTGTATAGAGAGGGGGCCCATCTTCCCGCTTCACGGTATTGTGGACCAGTTTGTAAACCCATATGAGGACAATGTTCTGGACATCGTTTTTTATATGTTTTCTGGCCAATGTTGCTCTTCCTGATCGGCCCTCAGCGCCCAGCCTATACCACTCAGCCTAGACTAGCCTACACTACGTTCATGCAACAGGGTTCACTTCGAAGCTGGCGACCAATGTAGGTGGCGGCGGCGCCAATGCAGACTGCCAGCATACACCAGGTATGTATCTTTCCTCCCCTCATCACCCCCTGTCTCCCACAGCATGCGCCTCCTCACCCGAAGACCACCATCACCATAACCGGCCCGCGCCCCAGCAGCCCGACTATGGCCGCCATGCGACCGCTGCCACCGCAGCGCCCCTCTCACCTCTCAGTGCCCACATGTGCCTGCTTGCTTGCACAGCCGCTCGTTTGGCAAAGCAGCAGCGTGGCCGCGATGCCTGCCCAGGCCAGAATGTCCTTCCCCTGGGCAGGGCACTTTCCTATATGAAAGTGCAGCCCTGCCTCTGGCTGCTTGGGCCTGGCGTGCATGTGCCTTGTAGCTTACGTTGAGCCAAAGTGTCTGTGCCCAGGCCCATCCAGAGAGAGGTCCGGGCCTGCAACAGTTAGGCGCGCCCAACTACCCACGTAGGCTGTGACGTGTTTCCTGCTTGCTGATTGGCCGAGAGGCCGGATTCCATGTCCAAGCATAAAAGAGTCTGGAAGGCTCTTGGAATATTCTGATGCTCACGAGCAGGGCCTTAGCAACCAACTGGTTCGTGGTAACTGTCTGGGCCCCATGTTGATGCCTTCACTTAGGGCGGGCACTGTACTTGCAGGGGCCCCATTAGGCAGTGGCAGGCCGCGACCAAGCGACCCATGCGAGGGCTCATTCCCGCATTCCATCCCCCTTAGCTTCGAAAGTCCGCTGAGATGCTTCTACGCAGGTCCTTTCCCCATTAACTTCTGTTCATACTCAGCAACGACCTGAGGGCTGTCTTGACCAGCTCCTCTTTCATGCACAATCGATCTTCATTTGGATCCGTATGATGCCTGAATCTGACCCGGTATTCCCTCAAAGGTTTGCCGGTCTCCCTCTGCCGACAGGCTTGGGAACAGGCAGGTCTCTATGATCTACAATGTCGTTGATGTCCACGTGGCCATCCATGGTTGGGGGCAGCATTGATCTTCTTGATGGAAACTCGTCAGTCTCAGCAAAAGGTGCAAGCTTCAAAGCGTGAAAGACTGGGTAAGTGCGCAGGTGACCAGGAATTCTGATCACATAGGAGAGACCATCCAAATCACTACCCACAATGTCCAGGACTTCCCAAGGACCAAAGCACTGAGGCATTAGTTTTTCAGAGATGTCGAATTCCTGTCCTAGCTCACTAGCCTTTACCCAAAAACTTTCCCCTACCTGAAATGTGGACTGTCATCTGTGTTTGTTGTCTGAGGCGATCATAGCCTCCTGAGATTTTCTAATATGCTCGACAGCCTGCTGCAACAGCTTCTCATACTGGACCCCGAATTCTATGGTTCCAGGAGTTGCAGCTGGTCAGTTTTCAGGAAGGAGGAAGTCTAGTGCAGATCTAGGGTTCCACCCCAGATGCAGCTCATTCGGACTGACGTCAGTGGTGCTGTGAACAGTGTTGTTGTACAGGCTGGTGATGAGAGGCAACTTCTCATCCCAATCATCCTGGTTGCGCTTGATGTAGTGCCTCAGCAGGTGTTGCAACATGCGGTTCATCTGTTCCGGCCTGACTGTTGGCTTCAGGGTGATTCCCCAAGGTCATTGGAGTTGGCTGCCCATCTGTTCGGCAGCCTTTTTTCCACATTTCGCTGGTGAACCGGACATCTCTATCGCTTACTATCATCTTGGGCAGTCCGAAATCACGCACCCAGTTATCCATGAATAGCTAGATGATGTGCTCCGTCTTTGCAGTCTCGGGCATGGCAACAAGTCTAGCGTACTTAGTGAACCGGTCGACTATGACAAAAATATGCCTCTTGCCACTCTTGCTGGTCATGAGGCATTGGTCATGAGGCATGAAGTCCATGGAAACGCTTAGCCCCAGACCTGCAGGAATGGGCAAGGGCTTGAGTAACCCAAGCGGAGCTTGAGTTCGTGGCTTGTCCCACTGACAGACTTGACAAGTCTGGACGTAACATTTCACATCTTCAAGCATAGCCAGCCACCAAAAACGTTGTACTAAGTTAGCACTACCTTCTTAACCCGAAAAAAACGTATGTACGTTCTATTCGAATTACCTCTGGCAATCGGGTTTTCATAAATCGCTTGTTTTGCCCCGAATAGAACGTACGTTCAAATATAACGTACGTATGTTGTATTCAAATTTTTGGAACTTTGATTTTTCAAAAAAAATAAAACAAAATCCGAAAAAAATAAAATGTTATACAGCAATGCAATACAAACAACGTTTGCCTGAGGGTCTTATCGAAATTCATGAGAAAATTCGAGAAAAAAATAAAAACGAGGATGAAAATGTATTTTACTGATTTTTTCAGAATTTCGATTAAAAAAAAACTTCAGTAAAAGATCCGAAAAAAAAGTATGTTGTACAACATTGCAATGCAAACAACTTTGCCCGAGGGTCTTGGCGAAATTCCCAACCAAATTTGAGATAAAAATAAAAACAATAATGGTACTACAGGCTTCTGAAAAGTTGTACCCTAAAACTCGTTCTATAACGTACGTACGTTGTATTCGAATACAACATCCCCCGTACGTTGTATTCGTATACAAGGTGCGTACGTTTTTTTCGGGTTAAGAAGGTACTCTTTTTGTATCCGAAATGCACTGTCGCATCATGACATCTCAAGAAAGAGCAACCCATCCACCATCACAAACTCGTCAGATGTGGCCTTGTCTCGGGCCTCAAGCTTGTGTATGATGTCCATCATGATGGGTC